TGCTGCTGCTGCTGCTGCTGCTGTTGCTGTCGTTGCTGCTGCCACTGGTGCCCCTGTTGCTGCTTTCTGCTTTGCTGCGCTGCTGCTGCTGCTGCTGCTGGTTGCTGCTGAAATTCTCCACGGCGCAGGGTGGGGCTACTGGTGACTGCTGCTGCTGGTTGCTGCTGCTGCTCCTGCTGATTGCTGCTGCTGTTTGGCTGTTGCTGTTGCTGCTTCTTGCTGGTTGCTGCTTCTGCTGGGTGCTGCTGCTGTTTGGCTGTTGCTGTTGCTACTTGTTGCTGGTTGCTGCTGCTGCTGCTGGTTGCTGCTGGTTGCTGCTGCTGCTGCTGGTTGCTGCTGAAAATCTCCGCGGCGCAGGGTGGAGTCGAATGGGGGCCCGACATTTAAAACCAACTCTTAAACCACCGAACTCAGGGACAGGAGCCTGCGACCAGCCCCAATACATTGCTAAAGCAAGGCAACTCAGGTAGCGTAACCGCTACCTTTCGTGAATAGGCACACAGGGTGGAAAACATATATGAATGATGTTAGATGCCAACAGTATAAATTCTCTTGGCAGGTCCCTATTCTACTACGTACCCGAATATCTCAAGGTCACGTCTTCTCGAAGCTTGGAAGTTGGGAATCAATGTGCCCCGAGCTCGTCACGAACCAGCTGGAGCTCGCTAAGCCTCTAAGTCCTGCGGTCCTGGAATCAACACCCGGTCCTATCCGGTCGCTGCGGTCCTATCAAGCCTATCAAGTCCCAAGTCTGGAACCGACACCTCCAGAGCCGCTGGGCGCGGCTCTGGAGCAAACCAAACTTGAAGCCTCCTGGATGGCTTTACCACCCCAATACCCGGTAAGAAACCAATGGCTCGCTCGTCCACCCTTCACCTCCACCCTCCGTGACCGAGGCCCAGGGCCTGGACCATGCCTCGGGTAGTAGTGCCTGGACCGAGCCTCGCGTCGTGTGCTTTCACGCCGCGACACACGGAGGGTGCACCACCGTGGTGTGCACCACGAACGGCGCGACCCACGGAGCCCCAACAGCCGTGAAGCGACCGTGCGCGGTCGCACGGGATGTCCGCGTCTCCACTGGAGCAATGAAAAGCATCTGAGCGTTAGGTTTGGAGCAAAAGGATGCAAAAGGATGCCAAAGGTCGTAAGGAGGTGCTTGCGCTTTGTTCCGGGTCCAGCTTGACCCACGGTCGAAAGTTGATTGAAGTTGTATGCCATGATGACGGCGGCATGATGCCGGCGGCTCCCATGTTCAAGGCCTGCATCAGACTTGCCCGTCCCTCCTGCGGAGATAAGAAAACACCCCACACCTCTATCGCACGTTGTTCAAACCACAAGTTCTCCAGGCTGGCTGCCAGGCTATGCCACGCCAGGCTATGCTAGGCTATGCCAGGCTACCATTATATACTCCGAATGTTCACTGGGCAGACTCCCAATTCTCACTCCATGTGTGTCCATTCAAAGCTTCTTCGTCTCTTCCATCCACTTCCAGTGATTTCCGTCCTTCGGAGGTGCGCTGGCTGATGCTGCCTTGCGACCTGGCAACCGACGTCTGAGATGAATCCGACATGCCTGGACAGAGCTCCCGGAAGAGAACCTCTTGCAGCTTGCCGCAGGTGGATGCATTCCATTCTGGCAAAAACATGCAAAAATAGCCATTTCTGGGAAGCGCGCTGCTGTAGCACAGCTTTCTAGACACGATAGACACGGATGCTTGTAACTTAATAAACATGAGCGGATGCTATGAGTTCAAACGATGGTTCCGCATCATGTTGCCCCCATCCATGTTGCCGATGTTCATCACCCCTATTTGCCGCTATAGGGTTCAGGCCTGCTATGGCCTGTGTTTCTCTTAAGTTTCCCAAGGTGGATCCCGTGCTCTCTCTCTCTCTCTTTCTCTCCAACAGTTCAAGAGCACGCTCTCTGTTCTGATGGGGGCGCGTGCGAGACTGTTGGTGCCTAACTTATACATGCGGTACTTCACAAGAACTTGTACTTCGATGTCACCAAGAGCAGCGGCATTCCATTCCATGGTCCAAACCTGTTTAACGGCATGGTTGCGCAATAAAAGAAGAACGAGACGCGCAACGTCGGCAAAGGCATCAGAATCTTGGAGCTCGACGCGTCTCACAGGTCTTTCAAAAGTGTCTCTCAGGTCTTGTCTACCCCTAGTGCTTTTGAATCCACACCAGGCAAGTCCAGTTTCTATCAGATGTTTTGACAGTGCTTTTCATGGTCGCCTCAGGTTTCGGGCGAAGTGACCTGAACCAACTCTGGTGGAGTAAAAAGCCGCTACCAGTACAAAGGCATTTCAAACTTGATCCTGTCTGCACTGCAGTCTGCAGGTTCCCAAACCAATTGGACCAGAGTCACCAGAGTCACCCAAACCAAACAAAAAGCACCGCACCGCGGAACATCACGGCCGAGACGAAGGGGAACCAACGCGGCTCCACAGCCGTCTCCCATCCATCCGAGCCACGCAGATGGTCGTTGAGATCTTTGGCTCTCCTGAAACGGGTCGAGGCACACGGTGGAGACCGGAACCGAAGAAACCGGTGGCCCGGGCCCTGCCCACCGGGACGGCCGGGAAGGCTTCCGTGACGCCCTTCGGTCCATTCGAAAGGGATGAGAAGGGTCTATGGGCGGTCGGAGGGGCGGTCTGAAGAAGGTACGAACACTTCGACAGGCTCGAAAGGCGGAAGAGTCGGACGGCGTTCAGATATTCTTGGGACCGTCTGAGTGACCTCGCCCATCAAGAAGCACAATCAACACAGAGGCGTTTCCATGGTGGTTGGATGGCATGATGTATGGCAGCTGGACTCCACACTGCAACCAGATTGCTAGGTCTACAAGTCTTGAACTTGGAATGTGTCATGTGTTCAGTAATTACATGTTAAACTTTGCCTGGGAAAGCCCAAAGAATAACCTAAACGGACAAAGATCTTCTGTTTTCGGGGAACATGCTCATGAGTCATGACCACTGGCTCAGTCAGGTGGATTGTCAACTCTTCTAAGACCTCATGAGTCTCAGCATTCAAAAACGTGGATGCTGGGCAGGTGCTAAAGATCTGTACCAAAACGGGAGATCTTTTCGGGGATTTCAGGGGCACACCGCGCCGCTGGCGCGACGCGCGGCGTGCCTGTGCCGCTTCCCTTTTGGGCTTCTTGGCCCCTGCCAGTGCATCGGTATGCTAGAAGTACAACTGTGTTGCAAAGGTCTGTGTTCCTAATCCGAAAAGAGAAATCCTCCAGGTATCTCCAGGTGGTGCTGCTTTCTTTGGCTGCTTGTTGGGTTTAAGATTGAAGTCGTCCCTCATCAGAGGTAGATGCATGTTTTTCGCCGCAAAGCCACCCGTGAAACCCCTGCCCTACTGTGCAGGGACCCCCACCGACATGGCCGACACCATGAGCCCCGTGTCACCGGCGTGGCTCACCGAAGCCGTCTGCACGAGGACGACCTGATCGTCTTCACCCTGTCCATCCAACCCCGGCGACGTGGTTGTGACCAGTGAACCTGGGGGGGGCGACCGCATTCATTCGGCCTGGCACTTCCCGCGGCGCTGACCTGACACCAACCGACAAATGCGCTAAAGTGAGGAGGCAACGGTCGCAAAGGAATGCAAAAACCTAACCGCTCGAATGACTCATGACCATTTATGCCCCACATCGTGGAATCCATTGTGCCAAGCTCACTCTCAGAATCCCCTTCAAGGCGCACCTAGCAGAGGTCATCTCAGCTCGGAAACTCTTCTCCACCTCACACGCAGCCACTTTTTGGCTGCTGGATGCATTCATCGCTTCATCGGTCGGTTCCCCCCAGATGCATTACGAAGCTGGTCAACTCCATCGAATCCGATCGCCCCGGGAGGTCTTTCGTTCCCTTCTGACCCTCCGTCGGCCCCAAGGTCCCGAGGACCTCGTTGTCCTGCAGCTCGTTCGGCGCAGGCCCTTCAGGCCCCGCGGGCCCTTCAGGCCCCACCTTCCGTGTCTTCGGCCTCACCACGTGCCAGCAGCATCAGGTCTTGATGTGATATATGCTTCAAGTGTGCTATCTCCAGGAGCATCAGCCAAAGGAATCTTCCTCCAGGCCGGCAGGCCTTCTTTGTTACATTCCTTCCATGGATCCAGGCCCACCGGAAATTGAAGAAGAACTCGAGACCAATTGAAGTGAATGGAGGTGTGGGACAGAACTTGGTCCTGCGAACGCCCTTTGATTTTCTTCCTCAAAAGGCTCAAATCTGTAAACTCCAGTTGTTCAGAACAATTGTTCACACATGTTGACCAATGTGTAGAAATATCTAATAAATTCACTCATCAACAAACCAATGACACCAACAGCGTGCTGGGCGAAGACAAAGGCGCCACCCGCAGCGGTCACCGAACCCCTCTGGGCCACCGAACCCAGAACCCCTCTGGGCACCCGCAGTGTCGCCTGCGCCCGAGGGACGACCTGGCTCCGAATCCCAAGTGGCTCATGAACAAAAAAGAACTCACTCTGCAGAAGAAGACTTTAAGGAACCTAATAGCAATGGCCTCCAATCTACTTGCGATGGCCTATGATGGCCTTCAACAAAAAGTAATGTGAAATCCCCAGTGCGGGTCGAGTGCAGCAACTGGCCAGGCCTCGATTCCGGTCTTCTTGCTCATCCCAGGCCCTAGGAGCTTAAGGCTTCACGGGGTGACGACCACACACCGGATTCGTGGGGGTGCCATGCTGGCATGGTTCCCTCGTGGTTCGGTGTATTGGGTGTTGATGACTGCAAGTCGGTACGATGCAAGTTCCTCAAAAGCTACAAACAACAAAGGTCAAGACTTTGAGAGTGCGGTGGGACTATGCTGGAAACTGGCACACAATGCCGCAATGCCCGGTGGAAATGCCAGGTGGAGCATCAGGCGAAAACGAGCCGCCATGCTGCGCCAACATCCCACAAAAGTGATAAGCTGATCTGATTTGATTCCAAATCCCTCAGGAAATGGCCTGGCAGCAACGCTTTTCGTATCGTACCTGACAAGGCCAATGCAAGACATCTCTTGCAGCGCCAATGTTTCAGGCGTCTAGCGCTAATGTTTCTGGCAACAAACATCTACAATCCGTGATCATCCGTGGACCCCTACTCTGGTGTAAGGGCAACTCGTGTCTTCGCCACAGTCGCAACACCTCAGATCTTGCGGGTCACTTCGACGAGGAGGTTTTGCCACCTTGGCAGTTGCGTTTCTGTGCCACTTGACTTGTAGGGCGCCACAAGATCATTCATGGACGGTTCGACGCTTTGGGTCCTTGATGGTGTTTCTCTGCAAAGGCATGATAGCCAACCGGTCAAACCGGTTGGCAATGATCGAAATTACGGTGAAGATTACTCGCATGCACTTTATAAGTTGCAAACTACAGCAACAGTAGTGTCCCTATATATAATATGTTATATATATGTTGCAATTACAAGGTGTTGAGATACCTACTGCATCAAGATCTTGCGATGCTTTGGGAGTGTTGTCTGCTGTGGCATTGGGGCATGGGCATGGGACCCTTGCACAAGATCTCAAGTTGAAATTCTAGGCACTGCGCTTCACGCAGTTCGACGGCACCAAGAACAATCCGTGCAGCGTCTACTCCGGACAAGCCCACCCCAATCATCTGGGGTGTGCATCTTTTCTTGAAGGGACAATCTGATCTCGCCCACCGTAGGGTCGAACTGGTCTATTTTTCTTCCAGGGGGTCGAACTGAGGTGCTCTCCCCCAGTTGAATACAAGCCAATCTAGGTGAATACGTGTTCAGTCTTCATGTCGATTCGGACGCCAACTCGGTGCCCCCGCCCATGGCATGGCGGAAAACAGTCTTGGCTTAAAGAGGGAATCCGAATGAATCTGAGGATCTGCAGCAAACCAAATGTGAGTATGGGGCATGCAATCACTAAGACTATTTGAAGGAGGACATTGTGCGATATTGGGCGAAATGGACCTTCGCCCTATGGATTTGGCAAGATCCAACCTAACGGTCACAGTCAGTGCGACATAGACCTCCAAATAGATAGAAAAGTAGATCCCCACTAAGGATGTATTGGAAACCGTATCTATCTATGTCGGGACCACGATAAAACCCCGTTCTGTTCGTCATGTCGCAGCCAGGGACTCCACCTGTGAGCCAGAGCCGATACACATGCGGAGAAGCAACGCTGCTAGCAACACACGCTTCTGCCGGATCAGTTCCTTGCGAAAACAGCTCCGGCATCCTCAAACGAATGATGCCCGCAGGCCAGAACCACAGGCCGCCTGGACCCCCTCTTTGCGGATGCAGTTCTTGGAGCACTGCTGAGCAGAGACCCCGCGAGCCACAGTTGGAGGTGTCCCTTTCAACTGTTGCCATGAGTGGCCTTTTGCACGCCTGTGTTTTCCAAGCAAAATGTGGACCCTCACAGCTTTTCAGCATGTTTTTTCGGCTCCACGTGCGTTTTGGAGCACTGCAGGCTCAGTCCTGGCAAGGACTGCAGGCTCACGTGTGTTGACCGAACCAATGGAGCACAACTTACCACACGTCTGGGCCCACCACATGTTCCAACCCTGAAAGCCTAACAAGTAAGCTCGTTGGTGGATTAGGTCGTGGGGGATTGGTGTTTTTCAAGGCATTGTTGCTTCAACCGCTTACCGTCATGATAAAGCAGCCGCTCTACTGCTGCAAAAAAACACAGTTCATGTTCCCCCGGCCATCGAGAAGGGGATTGACAAAAGCAACTCAACCGCAGAAGCACACACACACTCATGCTCAGGACATGGCTTTCTCAGCTAGGGTATTGTTACCTCTCTCTTGCCGTGATTTTATACAGTAGTTCTGATGAAGTGGAATGGCGAGAAGGTCAGAAAGGAGGCCTCTTTCTTGTTGCTGGCAGCATTGCTCTCGCCGCTATCCTGGCACTGAGGATGTCGGCCATCAGCACTTGATAAGCTGGAAAATCAGGTAAGGTCAATAGAAAGACTGAGGGACAACTAAAGTAAGTGGTCCAGTCTTTATCTGCCCGTGAGTTCTGTCGGCTTAAAACCATCTGATCTCTACGTATGTCGAGCCTGTCCAACCACACTGGCGATCGAGATCCAAAAAGTCCAGCAGGAACAACCAAAATGACTACGGGGCTGCAGCATCTAAATCCCACCTTTGTTTGGTCAACGCAACATGATGTCCAAAATGGCTGGTGAGATTGCAGGCACTCAAAGAACCCCTAAGAACCCCGTGAACCCAAGTTGAAAAAAGTGAAGGGACTCAGAGACTCAGTGAAGTGGTAGGCAATCAATGCCTCTGAAACAAAGCTTCTTCTGAGCAAGCGCTTCAACGCTTTCCAGTGAGCTCTTGGGCTCCCCAGCGGGCTTGAGGACCTGGCGTGAAATTGTCGTGGCGATGGCCTCCCCATCACTTGAGCCACCAGTGGTACACGACCTCCCCGCTCCGCTGTGGAGAGAGAGGTCATTTATTTTCTAGTAGCAAGGACGCTACTAGTTACTAGGTTGGAGGCCATCGCTACCAGTAACCAGGGCATCGCAGTGCGCAGCTTCTTGCTGCTATCATATACTAGTAGTAATGCCAGGAGCTACTATTAGCTTCTTGCTACATCTCCTTTCTGCACCCGAGAAAAGAACCTCAAATTGTCTTGGTTCTCCAAAAAGTCTCTTGTCTGCAAGAAGAACTGCACAAACCGCGCTTGTCCAAACACACTGAAAGGTGCCACATGTGGCTTCCCCCTTCCAGCCACATGTCCATTCGTTCAAGGAGGAACTTGTGGCCAGAACATCCAGAACTATAAGCGTATATATGTAAGCGCGAACATGTTGCTGAGTCTGCAGGTATATCCATATCTTTCTGTGAAATATTCCGTGGTTCCATCTAGGACCCACGAAGCACATTATATAAACACACAAAGCAGAAATCAAGGACCATGCGAATGAGTCAAAATCCTAAACACAAAACACTGACCACATCAACCCCTAAACCAAGATCAACAACTCAGCCAATAGCACGGCCCAGCACGGCGCCACGCTCCGCCCCTCGCCCGAGGGCCCCGACGGGCTTGAGGGCCTGCCCCAGGCACTCAAACCCCACTTGTTGGACCAATGGGACACAAAACCAGCCCCCCTTTGCCCGAACAAGGCGAATCCATCCATCCTCCTGACAGGGTGGTGCAACTAAATAGCTTAAATAGAACTTGGAATGGCCCCTTTTGGGCTTGATGCAAGGGGCACCTGGTGAACGGTGCGGGCCCAACCCACTTGAGGTCATCAGTGACAACTGTCACACTGTCATGTCGTAGGGCAAGGGTGTCCTCCAAAGAAAAGGTCAGGATGTTTCAGGGTGCCGGCTATCCACCATCTTGCAGGGGCCGCGTTTTTTTTTAAAGGATTTTTTTTCCATTGTTTTTTGGATTTTTTTTCTGGTCCACCAGCAAAAAGCAACAAAAGCCAACAGAAGCCTTCGAAAGTCAACACAAGTCACCAAAAGCCAACAGAAGCCAGCAAAAACCAACAGAAGCGAGCAACAGCTACCAGAAGCCACTAAAAGCCACCAGAAGCCAACAAAAGCCACCAGAAGCCACCAAAATCCCACAGAAGCCAACAAAAGCCACCAAAAGCGAGTAAAAGCCACCAGAAGCCAGCAAAAGCCGCCAGAAGCTAGCAAAAGCTACCAGAAGCCACCAGAAGCCAACAAAAGCCAGCAAAAGCCAACAGAAGCTAGCAAAAGCTACCAGAAGCCAC